CTCTCTCTCTCTCTCTCTCTCTCTCTCTCTCTCTCTCTCTCTCTCTCTCTCTCTCTCTTTCTTTCTCTGTCTGTCTGTCTGTCTGTCTGTCTGCCTCTCTCTCCTCTCTCTCTATCTATATATATATATTTCCCTGCACGCATCCAAAACCCAGACCCACGGATCAAATCTTGAAGTAGGTCGTCCCGCACCCTTGTGCTACCGGTATAGTGAGAAAATGACTGCTGCACCGTGATGAGGCAAAGAGAGAACACGAGGTCGAGCCTACTTGATCAATATGCAACGCCTCGATCCTGGCGAACGTCACGAACCACCCAAGAAATATTGATCAACCAGAAGCAACGCGAAATTTGCGGGCACGTAACGGCCAACAATATGCTCCCGTTCCTGCATGTTGCAAGCCCCAACACATCCATCTCCTACAGACACGGCCTTCCCGCAAGAGATTACATGCTCTGCGCCAAAAGTTGTAATTCGTCGAAGCGAAGCGGTTGGTCCGAGCGTCACTGCTTCGTGAGGGGGGCGACGCCCTTTCGAGAGGGTCATCCCGACTATCCCCGTCTCAGCGTCCTCTCCTGGGTCCGTTCCCCCCACCCCCTCCTCGCCCCTGCCCCACACCCTGCATCGACTGCGTTCCGTACGTCATGCTCTTGGCCTTTTCGGCGTCCGGCCTGGGCCTCCAGTGCTGTTGCTGTTGCTGCTGCTGACGCCCCCCGCCGTAGGCCTGGCACAGCAGTGGCGAAAGGGAGGTAAAAAGTCAGGTTAGTGGCTGCCAAACGTTTTTTGACGGTGTCATAGTGAGGGCGCGTTCGGGGCATTCGGGTGAGATTCAGCAGCGGGGCTACTTTAAGGGGGGCAAAAGTGGTTGCGCCGCACTGGGTTTCATTCGAAATGGTGGAGGGGCACGGGGGGTAGACAGCGTAGCGTAGCAGTGCGCCATCTTCATACAAAAAACGTAGATTCGACAAGAATGTTCGTGATCAATCCACATAGTCCAGACTCACCGCAGAACCCGTGGGCCCGCCCGCAACACCTCCGCGCCCTCCACCCGTTGCTGCAGGCCCAGCGCCAGGCGCTCCGGCTGCAAGGAACGGGTTGAACCCCCCACCCGCACCACCACGCTTGCCGCCACTGCCATCACGGTGGAACGCACCCATCGACGGCGGGGCTTGGCTGAAGTCATACCCTCGGAACCCGGGCTGCTGGGCCCCCGCTCCCCGCCCCCCACCGCCGCCGCCTCCGTCTGCGCCGCCGCCGCCGCCGCGTCCTCCGTCCCTATCTCTCTTGCTTGGGGTCGCTCCCTTCCCTCGTCCCACCCCCCCCGCGCCGCCGCTGCCGCCTACCCTCCCGGTCGGCCCCTGCCCGCCACGACCACCGCTACCTACCCCGCCGGGTACCCCGGGCCTACCGCCACCGCCGCCACGGGGGCGTGCGCGCGAGTAGCCGTCCGCTTGCTCCCCGCCGCCGAGGCCTTCTGTGGCGGAGCTCCCAGCGCCGCCAGCGCCCGATGGAAGCTCTAGTTGGGGGGCAGTGTTGGCGCCGCTCTCGCCACCGCCTGCGGCGGCGGCCGCGGGGGTGCCTTGCTGCTGGGCCATGGCCTCGCGCTGTTCGTGGCTTAGCCAGCCCAGACTCTGTTGGACCAGTTTCACGACAAGGCGGCGGCCGGTGCGCCGACGATGGGTCAGAGAGAGGAGATATTACCGATTGCGAAAATGTTGCAAGCGTGCCTAACAGGCTCGCACACCCGAAGTAAACGTCGAGCAAGTACGATAGAAAGAATCTCTGACACGCTCTGTATCAGCTCTTCTCAGTTGTCATGACTACCCGTTGTTCTGCCAAACAAACCAAAGCAGTCAGAGTATCGCTGGATTCCCGATGGAGCAGGAACAAACACTGTTCGAAATGAGAGTGAAACTTGGGTGTAGACATGATTGACTATAGCTCCCATAGGCTACATTGGTTGCGGTTCACCATCACCGGTGCCCACAAGCTATAATAGTGCCACGCCAACCCCAAACCACGTGGGCACTCCAGGGCACAAGCAACGACGCTCCGCCCTTCACCGCATTATTATTTTTTTCCACCTCCGCACCTCCATAAATTCCATGGTGTCATCCGCGCCGCCGCGTCCATCCCCCGCCCCTCGCCCCCTGTCCACAAGCAGTCCCAAGCCTTGTTGCCCACCAGCACCCAAGTCTCCCTTCTGCCGTTTTCTCCCGGAGAAATAGTTCGCGGCAGGGCCGGTCGCTGACGCGCCTCTCTCCGCGTCGGCAGCGCTTGCCGCGGGACCGCCCGCTCCCACCGCTGCTGTGTCAGTGCCTGCACGTCGGCCGGCCTCGGGCTGCGACTGTAGCTGCTTCGTTCGCGACGGGCTGTTGGAGGTGGCGTCTGGAGCCGTCTCGCGCAGCTTTTTCTTCTCCTTGTTGCGACGCCGGTTGCGGTTGGATATCTGCGTGCGTGAGGCGGCGGCGGCGGCGGCGGCGGCGGCGGCGGGGGGGTGATGATAAACACGTTCTCACAACCCTCCTTGCCGCCTTGGGGTGAACTGCGTTGGATTTACCCCCCTTTCTCCAGGCTGAAGGTGCACAAATCTTCAGGGAAGGCAAGAGAGGAAAAGAGATAAAAGATAGAGAAACAGAACAAGACAAGATAAACGGAAACATGCAAACAACGTTTTGCCTTGCGTATGATCGACAAGGACAAAGCGATACGTATGATACAGGGAAACCGGGAAAGCAGCCACACGATGGCACGCACGCCGCGATGCACGTTTTGCGGGGCAATGTCCGCTTTTTGGCGGAGTGAATGGGAGGGCAAATGCCGGTCGTACGGCCTGCATTTGTCGCGCCAAGAAAAGCGTAACAATCCACAAAACGCGCATGTCCTGTGTGGTTTGGAAGGTGGCGTGGGTTTATTGTGTTGTGGGTGCCGTCCCCCTCAAAGAACAGAAAAAAAACTGCTGTCAATGTCACCCCACCAACGCCCCTGTGTCTTCAGCAGGACACCACCGTAGCCTTCAATACAAAAAAACGCGCGAAACAGGCGTTGTTCCAATCTGCCATTGCATCAACACACGAGATAGATCATGCTAGTACCCACTACCTCATAGATCTCGGCGATGCTCTTGGGAATGCCAGGTTCTTCTGCGCTGTCCTCGCCCCCTGGGTCTCCGCCAGCCTCCTCCCCACTGCTGCTACCGCCCCCCGCATCGCTGCCGCTGCCACGACTGCCGCCGCCGCCGCCGCCCTCGTCCGCGCCAGGCTCCCCCCCGAAGCCGGCCAGGTTGGCAAGCGAAAGCACTGGCTCGCGGGCGATCTCGTCGCGGATGCGATCGGCCGTCCGCACGCCCGCGTCCGCTGCCGCCGCCACCACCTCCGCCTCCTTCGCGACAACCCCGGCAGCCGTCGCTGCTGCCGCCGCCGCCGCACCGCCGCCGCCGCCGCCGGCCCCGCTGCTGCCGAGGGCAAGCGAGTGCGCCATCCGCTGGGAAGTGTCGTGCTGTTCGTTCTTGGCCGAGACCACCGCTAACCGCCCCGCGGTAGCGGCGCCTTTTCCGGCGTCCCCCATGACCTCGTCCTCGTCGGTGTCGCCAGCGCCGGCACCGTCCCTGTGGGAAGAGTCTTTCGGGAGCGGAGTCATCCAGCCGGCGGCGCGGTAGAGCTCCTCCGTGTTGAGGACCGGGGACTGGTGGGTGAGGAGCGGGGACGGGGACCCCCGCGACGCCTCCGCGAGAACGAACTGGCTCACCGACGAAGGCGTCACGTTGAACGGCCGGAAGTAAGGCTCCGCGGAAGAAACCGGGTTAAAGGTAGTCCTGCTCCTGCCGATGGAGGACGACGACGATGCGCCTCCATCCCCGCCCAGCGTCGACGACCCTGGCCTCCTCCCTGAGCTGCTGCTGCCACCGCCGCCGCCGCCGACCCCCAGAACGCTGCTGCCGGTTGGCCTCGCGCCGGCGCCCGTTGGCGTGCGGGGGTTGAGAGGCGTTGTCGCGCCCGTGGACCCCGCCGTCTCGTCCTTGGCGTTCTGGTCGTTGCGCCCGAGGGGACGGCGGAGGGGAAAATTGCGATGAACAATCCCGCATTAGATCGGTACTTACGGCTACGAATTCATAGCTGCGAATCTACCGACCAGCTGGTCGCGGTGCCTCGGTGAAAGTTGTATACTTGGAAGCATATTTGATCAATGCCATATATTCGGGATAACTCGTGGTTGCCGTTTATTCGGGAGGACCCATGGTCGTCGTGCCTACCCTACAATCCCCAATTCTCACCTCCACCATCTCCAATATGTCCTCGGCGTGCTGCTGCACTAGGCGTGGGAGGGGGTTGCCGCAGCCCTCGAGCTCGTCGCGGTTGGACGGGCACTTCCTCGCCACCCGGATCATGACGTACGCGGACATGACGTAGCCGTAGGACTCGTCTTCAGCGCGGGCAATCATGTCCCTGGCATCGTGTTTTCAGACAAACGAAAACAAGAAAGGAGATTTGCGGGAAGCGAAGAAGGCGCTAAGAACACAGGTTTGGGGGAGTCGAAAAAAGTGTGAAGAAACAAAAAAAAATATCGACAGCAAGGACCAACCTCTAGTCTCAAAAGGCCAGCTGACAACAACAATGAGTACCACAGACCACAAACATATGAACGTGCAAGTAGGACGTGCTGGCCTCATACATCACACCCATGATTCGCAAGAGCGACAACAACGAACACTTATCGTACTATCGAACCTCCAGTTCCTCAAGGCGGAAAACAACCCTCCCGAATTACCAGCATACACAATACGCACACGGGAAATATGAATTTTGAAAGAGAGTGCTTTCTTCAGAGGTCGCGACCACGACTCGCAACACAACAAATCAAAGACATCGAACCTCCAGTTCCACAAGGCAGACAGCACCCTCCGCGGCACGTCCCCGAAGTTATCCAGCACCCCGTTGCCCCCCTGCCGCTTCAGCACCTCCGACCAACCCTTCTCCCGGAACGCCGGCTTCTCGTAACGCCTCAGGCAGATCTCGCGGGAGGCATCCAGGACGGCCTTGACGGCCACGTCTCCGCCGCTGCGCTCCAGGTCGATCCTCAGGCGGTCGTACACGTACAGGAGGTAGTGCGTGTCTGACTGTGCGTAGCTTTGGGTGGCGGTCGGGGGGGGAGGCAGTGGGGATATTCATTGGGGGGGGGGGATTAGGACGAAGAGGGGGTGGAAGGGCGGTGCTTGTTTCTTCCGTGCATGGGGGAGAGGGGGATGCAAGCGTCGTTCTGCAGAGGCGATGGGAGGACAAAGCGAGCGATGTACAGAGCACACCGAGGGTCATCTGGAGCAATCAAGGTGAAACAACAACAACAACAACAACAAGGGACTGTTTGAGTTGACAACGCTTCCTTGTTGCCATCAAACAGGAAAGCTCAACAAGTACATCTCCAGTTCACATTTTCTTTTCTTTTTCTGTTCTCGTGGTGTGGCTTCAAACGACCCATCTTGTTTCTCACTATTATCACGATGGTGCCGGTACAGACGACATAAGAACAACAACAACAACAATGAGGACTCACAGGAGCATATCGGCCGGCAGGGGGCGCATGCGCCAGTCGCTCAGCTGGTGCTTCTTGTCGGGGACAAAATCACAAAACTTCTCCAGGAGGTGGGCCAAACCGAACGACGGAAGCCCAAGCTGACGCGCCGCCTGGAGGGACAAACCAGACAAAAAGCAAGCGACGGAAAGCAACACGGTTGCTGAAAGGAGCAACGCGGGTTTCCCGTAGAGCATGACTGGTAAGCGGAGGGAGGAAGGGTACCACTCTATTCCTGCCGGCTCTTACACCGCTTCTTATGGGAGCATAAAGTAGAGAAAAGTTCAAATTTGCAAAACTTTTCTCACAACTGTTCTCACGTCCGCTCTTTGTGGGACCAAACGTTGCCCCACAAGGTTGGAAACTTTCGCTTTGACAATCATCGCGCGTCTGGAGAAAAAAAAAAAGTTGCAAAGTTTTCTCTCGACCAAAGTGTCGAACAAAGGTTTCGCCGCAGACTTCCGCGAGTCCACGTCGAGCACCTGCCCCTACCACACACACGAAGACCCTCTCCCGCAACACACACGCACGATCAACGCGATAGAGTGGTCACGTCAGAATACTTGAACGACGAGTTGGAATTGCCTGCGATGGCCGCAACTGCGTAGAATACGTATTTGTAGAGTCTGCATCAACAATTTGTGTTGCATGTGAGCATGGTTGAGGTTTTCCTGGCGTCGATTGGAAGACACAACGCCAGGTTTTGTGTGACCAATTCGATTTCCAACCCGGTTGTTGCTTCGCGTGTTGTACGAAGGGTTATGCCTGCTTTTTGCCGTTGCCCAACAAACAAAAAATGGTGACGCCTCCGCTTCCCACCAGTCCCGTGAAGAGAAGTTCCTTTGCCCCGAGCGAGCGTGCAACAATGTTATTTTTACATGAGTTCCCCGACAAAAAGTTGCCAAAAAAACTTAACGGTATCGGTTAACTTTTCTCGCAACTTTACGCTCCAATAAAAAGCGCCGTTAGGAGGGACAAAAAAACAAGAACAACGGCGAGAGATATTGGGCTCAACAGCCAGCACTACACCCAATCCCATAGGTCCCCTTAGCAGTAGCCTGTGATGAGGCCTTGAGCCTTGTTAAAAGGTAAGATGAATCTGAAGCGCGGGGCATCCCTGCATGGATACCGCTAGGCCTCCGTGTGGACTTGGCTTCAACTGCCGGCCGATCCTGTATGGATGCCGCTAGGCCTCTGTGTATGGACGTGGCTTCAACTGCCGGTGAATACTAATACTGTACAATAGGCGGGCTGCGGCATGTACTGCTGCTGGAACAGGAGGAAGCGACGAACGCCGTAAACAACATGGGGCAGTCATCCACCTGGCCGGTGTCGAACATGTTGACCAGGTACAGACCCAGGTCGCGCTGCAGCCACAGCGCGTCCGAGTCAGACCCGTGGAACACCTGTCGGCCGGTTGTTGTTGTTGTTGAGTGGAACAAAAGAGAATACAGAAACGGAAAAGAGAAGAGAACGGAATCATCTATCGTGCACACGCGGAAAGTTCGGGATCCCGACAGATCCCGGTGCAACACCCGGCAGCAACACAGGAGCCAGAGCTACAAACACGGCAATCGGTCGGTGTTGCGCTGCTGCTCCTGCTTCCGTACTTGTACGCTCTCTCTCACGCTACCTATCGACATGCAGCAGCCCAGTTGTTGCGACAAACCAGGAGCGACAAATTCAAGAAAAAAGACATGCGACCTTGGATCGAATTCAGTTTGGGAGGAAATTCGGCGAGGCGACAGACAGGTTTCAAGAGGAGCTATTCAAGAGGGAGAAGCTATTCAAGAGAGCAGTTGCAGCAGAAAAACCACAAAAGCCGTACATATCGTAGCTGGACCAACTATAGTAGAAGTACGACGCCAGCAGCCTGGTCAATGGTATCTGCCGTTGCTACGTGAGTCAAAAAGGAAAGAGAAGCAGCATCACGCGCTCCTGCTGTTGTACGCATCGCAACCACACGGTCTAGCATAGCCCACCTTGACGATCTTGGGGTCGGAGAAGACCGGCAGCAGCCTTCCCATCTCCCCTCGTAGCTTGAGAGGGTCAACGATGTAGTCGCGTTCTCTCGTGGACAGCTGCATCAGGCAGACCACTCCCAGAAACGTTCTGGAACAAACAAACATCGTCACCAACACAAGATACATGGCGGGGGGGGTAAGATAGGAGGAGGGGGGCAAGACACAGCAACACCCAAGGAAAATGAGATAGAGCAATTGACGAGGCAGAGCAGCAAAAATGTAATTCGTGGACCTAAGCGTCACAACCGAACAAAATACTGGGGGTCTGCGAGATACCCCCCCCCCCCCCGGACAGGAGAGCCCGGTCCGGTGAGAACCCGGCGTGCTCCGTCCCGGCTTTGTACCGATGCGAGGTCAATGGTCTAACGACTACGGCATGCACGACTATGAGT